ACACGCACACGCACACGCACACACACACACACACACACACAACTAGACAGAGGGCACTCGCGGAGAGCGGTGGCGGCTGCTGCTGACTGACTCGCCTGCTGCTGACTCGCCGCTCACTGGTGGCTGCTGCTGACTCGCCACTCGCTGACTCGACGCGCTATCGATCGCGCCACCCGCTCGCTGACTCGACGCGCTATCGATCGCGCGGTGGCTACACACACACACGAGAGCGATTGCATGACCTCCGTTTGCGCGGAGGTAATTAAGCACACACACGCACGCACGCACGCACAAAACCACCAAACTTGGGCTCTTGCACAATCGTGCTGTGCGTGCATGCGTGCGTGCGTGCGCGCGTGCGTGTTGTTATTATTGATCATGAGAGTAAGTTAGTGGTGGTACTACTAGTAGTAGTAGAACTCGGTACTACCGACGGTAGTACTTCTACTGGACTTGCACGTATTAATTTGGCCTTTGCTCTTCTTGACTTGAAGCTGAATCCCTAGGGAGCTCCAAGCTGACTACACTTCAAGACCCGGCAGATAAGTTTCAACGAGACACAGGATTCATAATAACCGGTGTAGACCCATGCCATCGCGACTCATCAGAATTCAGTATAACATAAGAACTGATATGGATAAAGTGGGGATAGAAGCTATATGGGTTGATATCTTACTACCAAGATCAAAACCAATATTGACCGGGGTATGCTATCAGCCACCAAAACAAGGCAACTTCTTCGAACTATTAGAAAATATTAGTATAAATGCTGACAGGTTCAATGAGCAGGAAATTATTATATTAGGGGATTTAAATGTTAACGTTCTAGAAAAATCAATGGGAAAAGGTGATAGAATGCTTAAGGCTCTTAAAGATTACTGCTACCAATATGATCTCAAACAACTAATCACTACTACAAGTGTGTCAAAATAAAGCCATTAGATGTGTTCTCAACCTAGGTACTAGAGCACACATCAGTCCTCGCCAAAAGCGTCGGACCGTAAGACAAAACCGGTGATTTTTGCACGGGTCCGACAAGAAATTTGGCTTCACCAGACCGTGTGTCCGGTAACATTATATCAACTAATTACGCAGAGGCTACGGGTACGGCAGTACCACCCACTATGCCTAACCCTAACACTAACTCTAAACCGACTCGGCTATCTTATACGCGTGTACCAAATTAATCTATGGTGTGGGAAAGCGATAAGAAGAGATTGGCTGTTATATGATAAAAGATAAGAAAATGATGACATGCGACGTGTGTATAAACTATCATGGGAAGTTTGTAGGTTCAAGCTTTAAGCTTAGAGGACAGAATTATTTCATTAAAGGATGCAATAACTTTAAGAAGTCAAGTATTACTGACCATGAGCAGAGTAAATATCATGTGAAAGCTATGGAATTAAGGAAGGCAGCTACAAGCAGCCAACATGATATTGCTATGTCAAGGGCTGGCCGAGCTTTGCAAGCAATCAAGGCAGCTGACCGGCAGAAATTAAGGTTATTTATTCAGAAATGCTTATGCCACTGCTAAACGGAGCAGACCGTTGACTGATTATACCTGGATCACACAACTGGACAAGGCCAAAGGCCTAGAAATAGGTGAAACCTACATTAATGACAAAGCTGGCCTTAAAAGTTTATCGAATGCATTGCTGATTGTACGCATCACGAAATGGATGAAAAAATAAACGATGCTAGCTTTTTCAGCTTTATCATGGACGGGTGAACAGACATAGCTGGTGATGAGCAGGAAAGCATATATGTTAGATATGTCCACAAAGGAAAAGCAACAGAGATGTGAATGTTTCAATATTTTTTTGATCCAGTAACATATCATTCGGTCTGGTAAAAATCCATTTTTTACTGGACCGAATGTCCAGTAAAAGATTTTGTCTTTTGGCGAGGACTGACACATAGGTGCTAGAGAGTTCAAGGCTGTAAATTGAGTACCTGTAGAGTTCAGGGTAATGCAACTGAAGGTCAATAGGGTTTTTAAAATATTACATAATCTCGGCCCACAGTATATGACAGAAGGTTTCATGTTAACGTCAGAAGTCCATAGTTTCAATACAAGGGAAGGTGTCTATTTTTAAACCGAGGGTGGGAAGCAGTGGGAAAAACTCTTTTACTTATACTGCAATTGAAGCTTGGAACTCTCTACCACAGCAAGTTAGGACAAATTCTGTTTATTCTAGACGTGATGCGGCCATGATGCCGAGGTGCGCCAAGGATTGACACTTTGTGTCTTCCAATCACAGCCTATGCCGCACCAGTCTTTAATATTTTAAAATATGGAGACCCATTGGACTACCAAATCGCTGATCTCAGGAACTAGGCCATTCTGCTATGTTAGAACAGTTTCCTACGATAGAGTTTGCCACAAATACGAAAATAACACGCTGTTTAGAGCACTGCGCTACGTCCTTCTGTTGCGTTGCATTTTCGCATCTCCGTAATCAGAATAAGCCCCGCCTTCTTCGTTGATGGACATGAATGGGGCCACACCGAAGTGACCAGTTACTGTACCTACTGTCTTTCGCCAGCCTGTTTACTTTTCGTAAATAATGAAATGCCCGGCCGATGCATTTCGCATCGAAGTGGAAAATTTTCGGCATTTTCACTCGCTGTCGGAAGTGAACGAGTGCGTCATTCATTGAACATTGCAGTTTTTCTTCAAATTAATCCCTAAAGCTAAAGTCACACTGGGGCCGGACTGTCCACGGATTACCGCGGATGGGGCAGGATCTCCCCGGACCGTAAAATTTATAATCCGTGGCGATCCGGGTGAAAA